ATATATTTTTCTGTTTTATTTTTCAATTTAACTAAAACAATAACTATGGTCTAGTTCACTATGTTTTACTATAAAAATATATGGTTATTTGTGTTTAAGGTTAAACAAAATATCTTAAGTTTTATGTTTATGTATTAATAACTAATTTAGACATTAAGACACATGTTTTTAATTTTTCAATGTGGTTTTATGAATAGAATAGAATAGAATAGAATAGAGTAGAAACAGCCTTTATTGTCCCACGCAGGGAAAGATGTAATAGCAGCAGCAAATCAAATCAAATCATCAATCCACAGAAACAGTATATTGCTCCGTGACATTATCAACTGTAGCAATAATAATAGAATTAAAGACAGTAACAATAACATAAACATAGATCCAAATAAAAATAAGAATAAGAATTACTGTACAAGACTATCAAGATCAAATTAGATAAAAATTAAAATAAAAGCAAGATTCTGTGCAGAGAAATATGAAATTACAGGAAAAAACAGTCATGACTCATGATCTGAGGCGGTGTGCAAACTGAGTCGAACTCAGTCATTAAGTCCAGTACAGGAAAAACGATGTACAGTTGCCACTGGTTATTATTTATGTAATGATTGAGAGGTAGAGTTGTCTGATGTGCAAACACAAACATGGATGATTATCGAGATTGTTGGGCGTGGTAGTGTCTAACAGCTGATGGGAGGAAGGATCTGCGGTAACGCTCCTTTGTGCATTTAGGATGCAGCAGTCTGTCACTGAAGGAGCTCTTCAGTTCAGCCATGGTATGGTATGTATGTATTACGGTATATTTATGTACACACACACTACCAGTCAAAAGTTTTAATTTAAAATTGAAGCAGCTCAAGTCCAATGAACAGCTTTGAAAGGGTATAAAGGTAAGAGCTGAACTGCCAGAGGTCTAAAAAATGTAAGGTTATCCAAAACTGAAAGTCAATGTGTCAGTCCAGTTTCCTTCACCATCACACTCAGAAACTGGAAACTAAGATGTGTGGCAGAGCCAGAGCCTCACCAGCATCAGATGACAGCTTTCTGAGAGTCCACACTGTGAAGAGTGGCTCACAGGTCTGCAGCTTCTAGATTAAGACCACTTTAAAATATTACAAGTAAGTTTGGTGTCCTTGGAAGCCAAAAATTAAAAAAAATGTTTGAAGCTCTGATTTTTCCATTAGTCTTGGAAGGAGTGAAACAGCCTGTAAACGTAAAAATAATTCCTGTAAAGATCAGCAGGAGACACAAGGAAATGTGTGTTAGAAAGCAGTGAGCGGCTCCAGTGTTTGTAACTTACTCCGAGGAAGGAGCCGGGGGTGTTAAAGTGTGTCTGTGTGTGATTATGTTGCAAGAAATAGTGCTGGAAATGTGAACTTGCTGTGTGAGTCACGAGTCGTAGATTAGGCCCGAGATGGGAGGGAAGGATTTCTGCCACTGAACAAACGCTGAGCTTCTGAGATTTTCACCTTGGTGACAAACGACGACACAAATGTCAACAGTTAAACTCTTTGCTGAACATGAACGGCCCTGCGGTTGCCGGGTTTTGTCAAAACCGTTGCGTAACTTTTCCCTCGAATCGCTCTGGAAACAACCGCCTTGTGAAACATTTTTTTATTTTATTATTTAAGAATGTTTCAACATAAAAATATTTTCTTGCACATCTTAAAAAAGCACATGCAGAGGTTCCATCCTCGTCAAAGTCAAGCAGTTCACATGTTCTCTGTTTCACCAGTCACAGCTGCAGCCACTCCTCTCATCAGTCTCAGTTCGGTAACACTTTCTTTTACGGTACTCTTTTTATCATATAATTACAAGGTAATAAAAAATGTAATTAAATGGTAATTACTACCTTATTACATGTAATTATGTGGTAATTAGGGTACATTTTTACTATGTAATTAATTGTCTGTAGTAATGTAGCACTTACCTGGTAATGTTTTACTATTCACTATGTAACACCTAAATAAGTAGTAGGTAATTTGAACAGTTTTAAAGTTATATTTTATTGCAATTAACCAGTAACCCCAAAATTTAGTTGCATTCTTTTGGTTATAAATATTGTGTTGAGTTACTATTGAATAGTAATTTGATTGTAGTTACCCAATAAAGGTAGTTTTACTAACAGTAGTTTTTCTTTTGTACGCTACTTAGCACATAATTACATGGTAATAGGGTAGTACTTACATTTAATTACACTTTTTAATACCTTGTAATTACATGGTAATAAGGTAGTCCTTACATTTAATTACATTTTAATACCTTGTAATTATATGGTAATAAGTAGTACTTTCATTTAATTACATTTTTTATTACCTTGTAATTACAAGGTAATAAGGTAGTACTTACATTTAATTACATTTTTAATACCTTGGTAATTAGGTAGTACTTACATTTAATTACATTTTTATTACCTTGTAATTACATGGTAATAAGGGTACCATAAAAGAAAACATTACCCTCAGTTCTACCGTACCCATCAGCTGAGCGTTGTTGTAATTTAAACCATATCTGGTTCTCTTCATGCAGCTATTCCTACAATCTAGTTAATTGTACAGATATTTGTTGTGGTCGTTGCTCAGGGTCATCTCCAACACAGAATCGGAGCACTAAAAGATCATAGAAGAGCTTTAGATAAAACTATAACGTGAAAGGTGGCAGGAGATATCCACACTGCATTCATTTTATTGACCTCACCAATAAAAAAAGATTTGTTTGAGATAAATCTTTTTTTATTGTTGAGGTCAATTCTAACCTGCTTTAATTTGATTTGTTTTCCACCATTCATCTGTTTTTGCACCTCTGGTCTTCCGTTTGCTTCCACCGTCCTTCCTGTCCCTCTCTGAGCTCAGTGCTCAGACAGTGGAACATATGTTGGCTAAATATACTTCCCCACTATCAGTCCATCTAAACAAAACTCCAGCAGGGAGAGAAAGCGAGAGGCAGAAGGACAGGAAGCAGGGAGGACAGAGAGGGAATGACGACTGGAAAAAAAATAAAATAAAAGAAGATAATATTCATGTTAAGCAGCACCTGTAGTTTGTATGAATAATAATAATAATAATAATAATAATAATAATAATAATAATAATAATAAAAATAATAATAATAAAAAGATACGAGTGAAGCATGTGGAGGTAATTTAGTTCTTTCTGTGGTTTATAAGCACAGTAGCAAGTTTACTGCTTACAAATCCACTGTCAAAAGGTCAGAGGGCAGAGGTACAACATGGGTAAATAGTTTGACTTAACTACTGATTGTAAATTTATGCAGCATAGTAAATTGTTCCCCAGGGTAAAGGACCAGTAGCAGTAAATCCTGGGAGTCTCCATCACATCAAAATAACTCCATCACTCAAGATCTGTGCTGGACTTTGAACATCACACTATGAGACTGTGAATAAATAAACGAACAAACCCGTTGAAATCAGAAACAGGTGCAATGCTCCTGCAGGGTTGGGGATGAGCAGTGTTTTATTAACTAACATAAAGTGATAGTTGAGTAAAAGTACAAGTATCTTACCAAAACATGACTTTGGTAAAAGTTAAAGTCTCCTTTAGGAATTTTACTTGAGTAAAAGTCTTAAAGTATGTGATATTTGTTGTACTATAAGAATCTGGATACCTTCTCCTTATTTACTAGTTAGACTGTGTTCAAACCTTCATCTACGGTTCTGAAAGGTGAATCATGACCAAATAAATAAGATCCTGGATACAAGCAGCTGAAATGAGCTTCATTCATAAGGTGGCCCTGCTGGGCCTTAGAAATCCTTCGATCCAGGAGCTCCAAGCAGAGCTGGTTCTCCTTTGTGTCAAAGGGAGTCTGAGATGGTTCAGACATCTGATGAGGATGTCTCCTGGATGTTTCCATTTGAAGGTTTTCTGGGCGTGTCCCACAGGGAGGACACCCTGGAGCAGACCCAGAATTCACTAAAGATTACACCTATCTGTTCAAGTTTAACGGTAATACTTTCAGTGCAATTTAATGTTTTATGATTTCT